TGAAACTCAACTGTTTTCACTGGCGGATGTTCGTTTCGCTTTCAAATTCATATCCGCGCATCTCTGCACTAATGCCATTAAAATCTATCCCCCATCTAAAGTGCTCTGCAAACCCGCAATCAAGCTAAGCACTACGTATCCGCATTGTAGTAAATATTTCTATACATTTTTTTCCTTTTCACAATGATTAAGATACGTCCCTGTTAAGAATTGTTATGAAAATTCTTAAACTTTGTTAGAAAATAGATTATATTGTAATTTATTGCATATGTTCATAGAATTTATTGAATATTTTAATATCGGGCTATAGAAAGGGTATTCCTTGACAAAATGCATATTATGTGTTTTACATTTGGTATTGCTAAACAAATTTTTAAAGCACAGGGTAAATTATACTGTTTAAACTGTAAACATTAAATATTTAATTTAAAGTAGGGTGATAGATTATGTAATTTTCTTGCAAATTTGTTTTATTTATTTCTTTAAATCTTTAAGGCACGCCTGCTGATATTAGCTTTAACTCGAATTAGGTTAAAATATTCCTCTTCTCCAATCCACTAATATTTCCGCGGTAAATACACATAAGGCTAAAGTCCAGCCAGCTGCAAGCATGTACCAACCGCCTTTAAAATCCTGAAGATTTATGGGCTTAAATTGGGTCACAAACGGCAACCTGATATTTCGGGAATTCCCCACGGTGGACACCAATTCCCGAACTGCTTTTTGTACCCAGTAATTGTGCAGTCCTGCACTCCAGACTTGAATGGCATAATCCCGAAGGGCTAATGCGTAAATCGAATTCTGCTGCAGGACAGAGGAGTAGGTGAGACCACCGACGAGGTCCAGTTCCGGGGTCCTACACAAGGCCTTTCGGGTGGTATGCCTTTGCAGCTCCGAAAAGGGATCGTTTCTGTATGCGAAAGTCTGGTAGGCATAGCTAGTATTTAAAGCGGCGATCATTTCCATTTGCTCCCGACTGCTTGTGATCCAGGAATTTGACAAAAATGTAAATAGAATCTCGGGGTCCATTTGCTTGATCATCTCGTAGCTCTGGCGGTTAAACACGACGGTTAAGTTACTGTCGTACAGTTCTTGTAAGTTCTTAATATAGCGGTACTGCGGGTTTATGGTAATCAGATAGCTGGTTTGGCCTGCCGCAATGCAGGTCAACATTAAGCCTGTAAAACTCATTGTCATTGTCAACTGCCCCCTGATGGATCGAACTTTGTTTCCAAGCGGAATCGACATGCCCAAAAGGCAACATAGCACTCGCAGGTTAAGCACCATGCTAAGGAATTTCAAACGGCGACAATGGTGTCTGACTCGATCACTTATGGTTCTTAAAATTACATCCGCTGAACTAAGAAGAAAGTATGAGCCGAAAAAGAGATAGGTTGATGCAAGGCCAAAGACGGCAAAAAACAGGTCAAACAAAGAAAGCTCTCGCCCACAAGGCACTGCTATGGAAATCGCCGTCATTCCCAAAAACGACTCCACTTTGCTCACGTTTGGGTATCTGAAGTTGAGCAACTCACCAGTCATTGGTAGATCCAACTCACCCCTGACTGTTTTCTCTATGAGATCCACTTGAGAACTTTTTTCGTTTAGGGGCCTTAGCAATTTCAGCGTGATATTGCGCCTGTGGGAAAAGTCTTTCAACAAATGGTAAACGTAGCCACTGGATCTGTTCCGTCCCGTTTGAGGATCTATCGAGAAAAAACTTCGAGGTGGCACCATGTCGGGCATTGTTTTAGCGATCTTTCCCATAAAGTTGTTCCAGGAAGCGGGAAAGATTTCCTTTCCTTCAAGCGGTTTGAAGCGGAACACTTCGAACTTTGGCTGGGGAAATGGAAACAATCTATAGATTTTTTTGGACTTTTCGATTACCACGAGATTGAGGAACTTGTGCTTTGCTGCCTGATGTGCGATGTCTTCGAGAAACTTCTGAGAAGGCAAGATCTGCATAAAAATTGCAATCCTGGCCTCTCTCATGTGATTGAAGTTGGCAGCCAGTGCTGAGAGTAGCAATAAATCCTCCAAAGAATCCATGTAGACAAGTGCCAGGAATTCATTATTGAAGTGGTAAAACAACTCAATTCTTTGAGTTTCATCCAAACACATTATGGGCCAGGACATGGGATACATTTCCTGCAGTATGTCCTTCCCGTGAACTTCCCTTTGCATCAGAAGAAGAGTAGAAATTGATTTTTCGTTGTGCACTGCTTTCAGAAATTCCTTTAGGAACAAAAGGTGTCCCATTGAGGAAACTACTCCGCTGACCAGTAAGCAAAGTAATATTTCAACTTTTTTCATGGCAATCGGACTTTTGAAACACAACTGTTGTCACTGGCGGATGTTCATTTCGCTTTTAAATTCATATCCGCGCATCTCTGCACTAATGCCATTAAAATCTAACCCCCATCTAAAGTGCTGTGCAAACCCGCAATCAAGCCAAGCATTACATATACGCAATGTACTTAATATTCTTATTGATTTTTTTCTTTTCACAAAGAGTAGGGATGCGCCTGGTCTTTTCACAGCCAACTTTTAAGAATCATTGTGTAACATTTGACTCTAAAAACACTTTTTACTTTTTTAGGGCTTGCACTTTAAGATCTAAAAATTAAACAATTTTACATATTATTGTGGATTGGATCTTAAACGATAGCAAACAGGCGCACACCCGGAAATTCCATACTTAGGATTTTAAGGCGAAAAGGCACTGCTGAAATCCCTAGAAGCGACTCCATTTTGCTTGACGTCTGTGCGTCTTAAGATGAGCAACTGACCGGTTATTGGCAGATCGAGTTTACTCCTAATTGTCCTCTCTATGAGCTCCACCTGAGACATTCTTTCCTTTCCATTTCATCGTTAGATTGCGCCTGTGGACAAACTCCTTAATCAAACGGTAGACACAGCCACTCAACCTTTTGCGGCCCTTTTGATGATCTCTTGAAAAAAATTCGTGGTGGCAACATGTCAGACATTGTTATAGCAATCTTTCCCATTAGTTGCGCCAGTGAATGGAAAAGATTTCCTTCTAGCTGTTGGTCGAATAATTGGAAGCTTGTTTGACTTTTCGATTACCAAGGAACTTCTTAGAAGGCATGAACTGCATAAAAATTGCAATCCTTGCCTCTCTCATGTGATTGAAGTTGGCAGCCAGTGCTGAGAGCAACAATAAATCCTCCAGACAATCCATATAGACACGAGCCAGGAATTCATTGCTAAAGTGGTAAAACACCTAAATTCTTTGAATTTCATCCACATAATGGGCCAAGATACAGTTTGTGGAGTATGTCATTCCTATGAACTTCCCTTTGCAAGAGAAGAAGAGTGGAAGTAGATTTTTCATTGTGCACTGCTTCCAGAAAATCCTTCAGGAACCTAACGGTGTCCCAATGAGGAAACAAGTCTAAAGAGCACTACAAAAAATTAATATTATAAATTTTCTAATAGCTGGCGGATTTTTGAAACTCAACTGTTGTTACTCACGACTGTATGTTTCGTTTTTAACTTCATTTCCGCGGATGCTTACACTCATGCCATTAAAATCTAACCCCCATCTAAAGTGCTGTGCAAACCCGCAATCAAGCCAAGGCTTACGTGTTATCCACAAACTGCGTTTTCATATTAAAATTAGTATGAATATTAAATTCAAGGTACTTTAACGCGTCGCGCAACCGCCAGGTTTTCTACATATTTAATTAAAGGCAGAGTGGGGCACAATGTGCCCTGAACTTGGGAAACTTTAGAGCACACATGTTTATGTCCTGCCATACGGTTAGTGCTTTTATTCCGGTTTTGGTTACTTTCCCCATAAAACCCACTCGAGCTGAAGCCCCTCAACGACATAATTTACAAAGCGCTTTGGCAGCTGTCTACCTCTGTTTCCCGTCTCCTTGCTCCTGTGTCCTGTGTCCTGGATCCTCGCTTCCGATTCTCCTGTCGCCTTACCGACACTTCCGGCTCTCCTCCAGGACCCCCTTATCGTTGTCAGTGACAGTCGGTGCTCGTGGATGCCTGAAGGAAGTGGAGCATTTCAAGCGCATTTAATGCGCATAATGTCAAATGCAACAAAGCAACAGAGACAACAAACCTCAGCACAAAACCACATTGGAATTCGAAGGGGTTAGGATATCAACTTTCAGCGGGGGCTTTGTTTTGCCAAAAGGGCAAACACACAACATTTATAAACAAGCTTAGCCAGTGGAGTTGAAATGAATTCCTTTATCTGATTATAACTTTTTAGCCATCTCGTTATCTGCTAATTAGGGATTGGTATTTTTAAACGAAATTCCAAGAATAAGAGCTAAGCAGCAATACTTCATTTGTACATCTCCACATTACATCTCAGTTACTTTACTAAAAAACTTTTGCAAAACAATAAAAGGTTATGTGTTTTAATGTTTAAATTCTTCTTTATAATAGGAACATATAAGTCCTCCCTCATTTAAATAATTTCCAGAATGATACTTGGTAAAATGACAATGCATTTTTGTAACTATTTGTTAAACAGACAAAATTATTCAAACTTATTTCCTTATGATAAAGAAAGGGTAGTGAGATAAACCCAGTATGTACTAACCGCACATACATTATTCAAAATATTAAGCTATATCTGTGAGCCCTTTTTTTCTTCATTCTCCTCTTTTCCTCCCGAAAACTACTTTATTTTTATTTCACCATCTTTAACATTTCCTATTACTTTGAAGATTCCTGAGTGCGCGACCAAGCCCAGATAAAAACTTGGCCCAAACTACTTTTTTGTGTAAGTATCCTACCCACACAGAGAAACTTTTATTGATATAAAAAATTACCCACGTAGAGCAAACAAACGGAATGGCAAAGCAAAAATTGTTAAAGACAACAGATCCGTTGTATCCAAGGCGGAAAACGGAAAGCGGAATACGGAATGCGGATACGGATGCGGATTCACTTTCGATTGCACACTTGAGTCGACAGCGGATATACTTGGGTGTGGAGGGGCTCCAACGTACCTTTGGCATTTTTCCGGGCACGCTGAAGTGTGGCTTATTGTGGGTGTGAGTTTCTGGTGTTTATGATTTCCTGTGTTGGCTGAGGATTTTTATTAACGCAATGCTGCTCTTCGCTGGCCAACAACGAGGCCCAAAGGACAACGCATTGCGCGAGCGCGGCATTGGCAATAAATTCACTGCGAAACTTTCGGCAACTTGGGGTTGTCCTCAGGTGGATGCCTGGATAAATTACGGCTCACGGGTCAACTGGCTGGTCACAGCCGCATTTATTTATGCACATGGATTTGTAGACAGCTATAAATTCGCACGAAAATTGCATAGCCACTTATATCATTCGGTGTGAAATTAAATATTTAACTCGAACTTGGTGATTTATTATTTTCTTCTTATTGATTTATGTGGGCCCTGTGGAAATAACACAGCAAACTACTATGACTAAGATTTATGGCAGAGTTTTTGGTTTTTTTTTTTTTTTAATTTAATTACTATTATTTACTAATCCCTATGACTAAAGATTTGACATCCCCTTAAAATGGCAGATGCAAATTTAATTAGCACTCCAGCGATTTCCGTTACAAAAATCTCGCTTTAGGAAAATGTCCACCGACACGACACGACACGACACGAACAATTGAACGAAACTCACGAACGCACTCACGAACACTCGCTCTCTCGCTCACTCTTGCGGCCGGCGGCGAGGGGAAAACTCTAAAGAAAACTCTGGCTTCGGCGGCGAGCGTTCGAGGGAAATCACATGTTTCATGTGCAAAGTATAAAAACAAACTGAACGCCGAGCGCGGAAAGCCGACAATTTCGACCGACTAACATATATATTTTCCCAATCCCGATCTATCTAACATGCCTGTTATGCCGGAGGATTTCCCAAGCGGGGGAAAGCTCAAAGCTTTCGCTTCGCTGTTAACGCGGTTAACAGAGCGCCCCACAATTGGGCCATGTTAGCTGAATTTTTTTTAACCAAGTTCCCACATAACTCGCACTCTGCGAGGGAAATGGAAATGAAAATGAAAATAGAAATAAAGATAGACAGTCGTGCAACCTCAAAGTGCAATTAACGCTTGTTTATGACTGGCACAGGTTCAGTTCACTGCGATTCGTCACCGTACTCAGTTGGAGATTCGAATTTCAGCTTAGCGGCCCGCCACAAATCACTTATGGAGCTATAATTAAATTCACAACCGCAACAGGTGAGCGGCAACCGCAAATAAGCTTGCGGCGGATTCAAACAGAATATTTAACCACAGATGTGTGGACAAAAAATCATAAATGACAAGCCGAAGCATAAGAAGAAATTATATAAGTTTTACACATTGTTGTTCATCCTTTACAAAGTTTATCTTATTGCTGCATAACCGAACACCAACACCAAAATCAAAACAACAAGACATTTTTAAAAGTGTTTTTCAAGATTTACAAAAATGATACGCTATCGCAAAATTTAGTATTCAATCCTGCAAGCCTAGGGAATAAATGTTTAAAAAAATATAAATGACTACACGCTACAAAAGATGAAACATTAAAACAGTAATGTTAAATTTAATTTTTGAAATAGGTATAGATAATATAACTTGTGCGATATTAAGAAGTTTAATAAGACTTCATAAAACAAGTAAACCTAAAAAACAAATGTATTATTGGCATATTTTCGGTAGGCTCGATAGATCAACAACTTTTCGGTCACTTCAGATATTATTTAGTACCTACACCTATGCCAAATAAGCCCCTTGGGTACTAAATCATACTTAGATAAGTGATATTTAGGAATCCGGAAAAAAACCAAATGTATACTCGCCCTTAGTCAAGCTGAGCCAATAAATCAATTGCAACCAAAGTCGGCCGGCACACAAGGCAAGACGTTTAAGGTTGGCGAAGGCATTCCTAGGCTGAATTTCATTACGAATGCCAGACACAGGGGCACGCAGCTGGATGGCCACTCAAGCCAAACAGTTTGCCAGGATTAAAGGACGAAAGGACACGGTGCGGTATTCAAGTAGCCAGCATGCGACAACAAAACAAGGCAGCTGCCTCCAGTCAAGTCAAGTGGAAAGTGGGCCTGGTGACAGGGGGCCAAAGTGTGTTAACATACTAATATTCACTTTGCATCTTAATCGTAGTTGTCCGGGCCAAAGGATGCTATTGCAAGGGAATGGTTTGACTCGAATAGCTAACAATCCGCACGGCAATGTCAACTGCCGTCTGTATTTGATATTATCAGCATTATGTGGACAAATTGATGATGATGCTTTGGCAGATATGGAAGCACTTATTGAGCAATTTAACAGGTCTTAAAAATCAGGAGTTATTACGTTTAGTATAACCATCGATATGATGAACATTAATTAAATGAAGATATGGGTAATTTGTCATAGATGGATAAGATTGATAATGGAATATAATTGAAAAAATATGCTAAAATTATATATTTTTTTCAAATGATATATCTTATTTGTTCGTAGCAATTAATAGGATTGTCAAACAAGAAACCAATCTTTATATGAAATTTAAGCCTTTATAAGATTGACTCATACACTTTAACATTATATTAAAGCGCCATCTTTCGCTTTCTTGAAGTAGATGAAAGTCTCCAAATTAAGCTTCGAGAACCAAGTACAATAAAAGCTGTATAGCCGTTAAAATGGGAACACTGACAGTGTCCTTTGAACAATACTCAGCTGGCAATGCTTGCAAGCTCTCTTTATGTTTTTCACTATCCCCACAGCTTTCTCTCTTCCTTTCTCTCTCTATTTCCCCGTTCATTGCAATCTCTTTCTATAAATGTTCCATCTCTGTTCTTTGAGCTTGAACTGCGAATAACAAGGGGAAAGCATAAGTAGCAAGAACACGTGGTTGAATTAAATCAAGAGAAAAGTTGATGAATTTGTTGAAAGAGAACGGCTCGATGGTAAAATTTCAAAAAGAGAAAACTGAGGCATTGGGAAATGGGGGAAAAACCCAGAGGAAAACATGTGCGACCCATCGGTTACATCTAGGACAGGGAATTGCTGGGGCGCAAATCGCATTCATGGTAGATGGAATTTGCACTGGCATCTTCACTGGCACATTCACTGGCCTTTTCCCTGGCCTTTTCCCTGGCCTTTTCCTTGTCCTTTTTCTAACCAGCTTGGCCTCAGTTGACCTACGATGGCCTTCACTGCTACTGCATTTGCAGCTGCTCTCTCGCCTAATTGGCAATTTCAGTGAAAGCAAATTGTCGTGGCCGCTAATGTTGGCCGCCTCTGTTGGCTTCCTGTTGATTTCAGATTAATGAATTTAGCACACGCACAGTCTAAATGTGGAAAATTAATTTTGAAATCTAGTTAATGCGTAAATTTCCCATTGTTAGGACTTGTTGCATTAATTTTTTAATTAAATCTTATGACGCAACGAGGCGTATACGTAACGGGCGCAATGACGCCCGCCGGAAAGTATGCTGCAAAAAACACTTTAACCATCTAAAGAGCAATGCAGTTGAATGGTTTTATCCTTGTGGTTATGAATAGCGAATAGTTTAACGGGGTTGAGAGGGGCTTTCCGACGGAGTGTGCTTGGAAAATGTTATTAAGTTGTTGAGCAAGGCAAACCCGTTCACGATTTATTGAGTTTGCTTGCAATGCGAACTAGTTTTTCAAATGGATAAGTCCATAAATTCATGCCAACGGAATTTGTCTGCTTTATAATCTTATGAACTGTGGATTCGAATATATTATTCATTTTTGTCGCAATATTCACTAGCAATAAAATAAGAAAGCTTGGTATGTTCAAGGATCTTTAAAAGTAAAAATAATAAAACCTTTCCTCGCAGTTGTACGCTTTTCTTTTTTAACCAAGAAGACTGCATACTGACATAATAAATAATAATTCGCCTAAAAAATACCTGTTGATCTAGTGTTAAATATATTATATATTAAAGAATTAATTTACAAGCTAAAGCTTACCAACAAAACAAAAGTTAGGAAACTGTAATTTTTATGAAAAAAATTTGGTACTCCTTCTATGGTTTTATTCTAAAAAGAAATGAACCATTTATCAAAGCACTTTTTTTTATTTATATAAGAATGTCATTAAAAACTCCAGCGATTTAGCAAAAAAATTAAAATCTACATATTTTAAATACATTTCAGAAAATATATTCATTATCTTCTGTATTTATGTACTGTATTAAAATACTGTCGTACGTAAGTTGATATTGTCCTCGTGCTGTTCTCTTTTATGATTTCAGTATTTTCGTCACAGAAACACACAATTTTCTTCAGAAAATCGCTTCATTTGCTGTCTTTGCCCACAAGGGCAAGGAGCCCACCGGCTGAGAAGATTAAGCCGCTAATTGCAAACGAATCGTTAGACATTGGACTGACATAGATTACCACTCCTACTGATTGTTAAATATTTCGGGATTGACAACATATATCCCAGAGCAGTACAACTGCGAGGTATTCAAACGCGCACGTAAAACACAATTAGGAGGCACTCCACGGGGCAGAGCATAAACATAACATAAACAATGCGAAAACATTAAACATAACACTCGACGCATGGCAGGCATAACGAAATGCCCGCCAGGATGCGCGAAGCACACGAGATCTACACCTGCAGGACCCTAGGGGGAGGTTCGTCCTTCATCCGTGATGATTTGCGGCATTTTTTATGAATGTTTTATGTGTTTGCGAGGGTAAAATGAAATGCGGCCGACAAAAGCAAAGACCACTTCGGTATGCGAGAAGTCATTTGCAAATTTCACAAATTCCTTCGAGGAATTTGCCATGGAACAACAAACAAAGACAACGGTGTTCTTTCCCAGATAAAACATTATTAATAGCGTTCTCGTCAAGGAGCAACTTCTTGTGCGCCTCCCACACAAGCAGCCAAGTTTACACATGATAAAGTCTATTTTCCACCCACATATCGTATTTATCGTATACTTACCGCAGACAAGGGCGAAAATCTTGCGTTAATTTAGACACTTTTACTCACCTGAAAAAGAGGAGATAAAAATTTATTAAAATCAGTTTATACTGGAAACAAATATCCTTTCACAATAATGTTATCTTAATACGTTGTTGTTTTGTAGTTTAGTATTTTGATAACCAACGCAGTTAAAGATTCAGTTAAATTCAATAAAATTATAAGGTCTCAAAAACAAGCTAGGGTTAATTTTAAATGACGTTTAATATTTGTAATATATTTGAAACATTTTTTTCATTAAAATGGTTTTAGGTGATGATATCTGTTACTTAACGAAGTTTTGTTGCAAATATTCTTATTTTTCCCTGTGTAGACGACCGTTTAGTGGGTGTGGCTAGAAACTAAAGCTCTTAATGTTCTTTAATAGCTCTTGATATATGAGCCGGTGCTGGTGGCGTTTCTGTCTGGACTTTTATGGGCCATTGTTATAGGATTTTTTTCTAAAGAGGTAAAGCGTTGTGTGCTTAATGCAATAAAGTGGCTTAAACGATACAGCAGAGACTTGGTCAGAAGTAGAGCATAGTTGAGATCTCAGCCACGAAACACCATTAAAGAGCTGTTAACTCTATCTAGCATTCCACTCCCCCATTTTACTTTAGCCGGGCGATAATCATTCATTTCAATTACGCGCTCAGCCATTAAATAGGGTAGAATCCATTGTGAGTCCGGGCTTAATTAATGGTTATCGCTGGTGACTGAGATTGCAACTCACCCACTCACTGACAAGCCAATTGCCAGGATGGCAGGCACCTATCGGTATAATCACCAATCAAGGAGGTGCCGATCTACACACCGCAAGGAAGT